GCAAGAAGTGTCATTTGTCAAATTGGAAGTAAAATAAATTAAATGGAATTCTGGTGTCCATATTCATTAATGTCCCCAAAAGGGACCAACATACTAATTTGGGCAGAACTTACAAAACCTTACAGAACTTACAGTGTCAGCTCCTCTGTGGCCAACATAACTGCTCCCTCCTCTGCGCTGGCCAAACAGTATCATAATTGCTGACTGTTAGTTATGCTTATCTCCCCAAAGGCTGATATCCTACAAGGCAGGGACTATATCTTATTTATCTTCGTATCTCTGGTAGTTCACAAAATACTTGCTGATTGTGTAAAAACAATCAGAAAGTATTTGTTTGATGACTGTAGGAATTCATTTAATGATAGCCAAGTGTTACTTCAGAATCCCATCGCAATTCTGAATATGCTCTGAAGTGTGCCTACCAATTCATATTCTTTATCTTTAGAGTCCTGGTAAAAGTACTGAAGGACCATGCACTTCATAATTCCCTACCACAAATCACAGTGGGAAAAGGTGATTCTAACTCCCACACTTCTCAGGACCCTGGTAGAAAGCAGAATATTAGAAAAATTCTGATAAGTAAAATAATTCAGGCAACGATTCAGCAAGACATTTTTCTGTGTCAAGCGCTGTTCTGAGCTTTTATCATGTGGGATCCTCACTGTAACCACAGGTAGGCACCGTTATTGTACACATTTTACATAGGAAGAACTGGCACAGAAAAGTGGAGTAACTCACCCAGGAGGAGAGAGCCTTATGTGAGTATTCCGCATGCCTCCCACCTCTGAAGAAAGCAGAATGAATCATTTCTCCCGTGTTCCCATAGACTCAGTCCTCAGGCATGGACCTGAGTTATGTTGTGATTATGTTATGATCAGAGATCCATGTCAGACTTGTTGGCCAAACGGTGGGTTCCTGGGGGACTGGGACTGTGTAGTTATTGATCATCGTTTTGCCTCCTCACTTCGCAGAGTGACTGGCTTATGGTAGATTCTCAGTAAGTGTCTGCTGAATAACTGGATGGGGAGAGTTTTTCCCAAAACTACCACTTCTGTGGAATTCCCCAGAGAAAGGGATGCAGATAGACTCATCCTACTGAGTCAGCTAAGTCTGTGCATCTGTGTGTGTGTGTGTGTGTGTGTGTGTGTGTGTGTGTGTGTGTGTGTGTGTGTGTGTGTGTGTGTGTGTGTGTGTGTGTGTGTGTGTGTGTGTGTGTGTGTGTGTGTGTGTGTGTGTGTGTGTGTGTGTGCGTGTGCGTGCGCGCACGCGCACTTGTCCCACCAGGAACTTCCACTAAAGTCTGGCATTTAAAACCAACGCCCTATATTTTGCTCCAGCAAAAGTTGTTTTTAAAATAATTTTTATGACGTTTTAGAAAGTCAAAGTAGTTTTTAAGAAACACGTGTAACTTTAAACTGAACAATTCTACTTTGCAGAGTTTCTCCTAAGAATCTTTGAGGCTGTACGCCTAGAGGCTGTAAACATAAACCTCTCTTGGGGCTGAGCAGGCAGAAGAGCTAGGTAAGGGGCTGCATTCTGTAGCTGGTGGGGATGGTGGCACACCGGAATAAGCCTGCCCATTATTGCAATGTGACAAAAGGGATCCAGAGAAGCCAAACTGTTTTTCAACAGAGCCCAGAAATTTCCATTTTAAAATACTGGCTGTGATATATTGTAAAAAATGGACCCAAGTTATTCCCCTCCCTCTCTCCAAGCTCGTGAGTAGAGCCCTCCCATACTGACTGTAAGCTGGCCCTGGCACTCACTTTGGCCAATGGAATGGTAGGAAAAGGGATGCAAACAGAGGCTTGAAAAGTACTTGAATACGGAGGCTTGACTTCTTGCTGCCAATGGGACCCCTGTAACCACTGTCAAGTGAAAAATGTGGGGCGAACTTTATGAGTAGAGGTGTGTGACCTAGATACCTCTGTTGCTCAGGCAACAAAATGCCACTTGCTGGACAGGAGAGTAAGGCCATCTAGATCATCCAGCCCTAACCAGGCCACCTCAGATGCAGGAGAGCCCAGCAGAGATCAGCTGAGTCGGCAGAGACCAGAACAGTCCAGCAAGCTCCTAGAATTGTTAGCTAAATTTTAGGCCAATACATGCTTGAGTGATTTGCTATACAATAAAAGCTAATTGGTGAAAAATTTAAATATGTTTGGAGCCGAACAAAAGAGGAATTCAGTTCACTGTAAGCTCTGGTGAATGTAAAGATTTAACGACAAGGACTTCTTTTACATCGCTGTTTATAAGAGAGAAAAAGCAAAAACCACCTGAAGATCCATCTAATATACTAGGGAAATGGTTAATAAGTGGTGGCATATGGCACATACTAGAATGGTATGCCACCACTACAAAGGATGGTGAGGGAAAGCAGTCACACACAGATCTATCAGATTTGGTGTGTTACCAAATTTGGATCAATAGGTACAATTTTACTAACCCAGAAAACATACTCTTTCAGAATTGTAACACTAAGCTGAGTTGATCACACAGTGCAGTGGAGAGGGCATCTTGCTGTAAGAAAGTGATAAAAAGCTCAGAAAAAAACTCAGAATATTTATGGGAATGTGCTCAGCTTTGCTTTTTGAGGATATAAGCATGCACAGTGGGGGCAGTAAACAGCTCTGCTCAAGTAAGGACATGATTGTAAAGAGGGATCGGCAAACATCTTTTGACAGTGAAAGACATTGTTATACTTAAAGGCTAAGTCTTTTAATTTCTTCAAATATACTGCCAAATTATAGGACTTGAAAGTGTTCTCCAAACACAAAGGACGTTGATAAATCACTGCTATAAAAAAATCTTCAATGACATGAAAAGATATGTTAAGTAAAAAAAGCCAATTGTAAAATAACATGCACAATACAATCCAATTTTTGTTATAAAAAGAATATGCTGGCATTAGAAAGTAACTGGAGGACAGAGATCAGAAGTGGGGTATAATAGTGGTTATCTTTGGAAGATGGGAGTAGTGTGTGATTTTACTAACTCTACAATTGTTCCAATTAAGAGAGGGACAGGTGAATACTCCCAATTTGTGATCTGACCTTCTGAATAATCGGAGAATCTATTTCCTAATTCTAACTTAACTAAGGGTTTTTCAAAGGGAAAAAATTATACTTTTTAATTCTCTCCACTTGTTATGTTGCTATTCATCCCCCTGGGTTTGCTAACAGTTGCTTTGGCTTTTGTTCTCACTACATTTATGGATGAGGGAGTATAGCTGGTCTCTGCCACGTCTGACTAGATGACATTTTAGAATTAGGTCTGATGATTAGTTAGGTCATCCTCTTGCCATTTGTCAGGAAGCTGTCGTGCACAGAAACTTCTGTGAAGGAAAATTCGTGACAAAGTGGCAGTGAAGGAAAATTCGTGACAAAGTGGCCTATGATGGGCTGCCAGGGCCATGAGAGAGCTCTGGCCTTGACCTGAATGAGCAGGGAGTCTCCCCTGTCGAATGGCAGCAGTGCCTGGGTGGGCCTGCTTATATTCTTGAAGAAGATTTGCAGAATGGAAGAACAGAGCATCTGGATCACTGCCTCATTTTTACCTGTGCCTGCAGAGAGTGATGCTACATGACATCCGCCTACCACTCAAGAGAATCAGGTAGATATTGTGCCTGCAAGGAACCCACGTGTTTTCATATGGGAGAAGATTCTACAATTCCAGAGACTGCCGAGCCCCAATAAAATTCTGAAGGAGTGCAATGATGTGACCGAGCATTTGAAAAAAAAGATTTTAAAAGTCTTGCTCTATCTACTTTGGTTTGGGGTGTGTATGTATGTGTGTACATATGTACATGCATGCACATGCATGAGTTTGCCTCTATGCTTTTTAAAAACTAAATTTTATTAAATTTTCTCAGTACAAAAATAGTACATGTTTATTACAGCAATTTGAAGAAATACCAATTAGCAAGAAGAAAAAAGTATATTGCTCTCTATACTTGACCCGTCATGGCATAGATAAATCTTGAGTTAAATTAGAATTAGGAAATAGATTCTCTGATTATTCAGAAGGTCAGATCACAAATCGAGAGTATTCACCTGTCCCTTTCTTGATTGAAACCATTGTAAAGTTAACAAAATCATATCACATTTTAAAGCTTAGCAAGAAGCACAGTAACAGCACAGTGCCCTCAGCTTTAGCCACTATTCAGCTTTGTCTGTGAACTGCACTCAGGTTCAGCCACGTCACAGCAACAACTTAACAGTGGCCATTTCCCAAGAGGTGACTATTGGCTGAGAACTAGATAAGCTGTAGGCAGACACTATTCCTTTTATCTTGGAGGTGGTGAGTCTACGAAGGAGGAAACTGAGTGGCTTAGAGAAGTGAAGTAACTTATCCAACACAATCCCTCTAACAGGAGGAGGGCAGGACTCAAACTTCTTCAATGAGCATTTAAGAGTGTGGAGGAAAAGCAGCAAGGAGCAGTTGGAAAGGGCACACTGGAGCAGCGCCCCAAAGCACACATTCTAGCTCATTCACCCAGGCAAATCACTTAATCTTGCTATAGAAGGAGGCTATCCTCCCTTGCCAAATACTTCACAGGATTTTTGTGAGGTCCAAATGAGATCACAAACATGAAAATCCTTGAAAACAGTAAGGCATTTGACAAATACCATGTGTTATTAATAAAAGAACAGAGGACTAAATTATACTCCTTAAGAGCATAACACTTCAGTCATTAGGGCCTCAATGGAAAGACCAAATCCCCTCTGGTCCCCCAAACTAACTAAACCCTTTAAATAAGTGGCCCAGGATTTTCTTAAGCAATCCTTTAAAGATGAAGGGCTCAGGTACACATGCTGGTACTTGAACTGGTCTTTGCAGGGAGCTTTAGTGTCCTGACACCCTGCCTGAAGAAAGTAACCGTTTTCCTATACTATCAATTCTGTTCCAAAGAAACAACTACTGTAATTTTATACTCTTAATTTGTTCAATACAAGAATGAGAAAAACAAACAAACAATACTTTCTCATGAAAGGGCCATATTATATATAGTAATTCATTTTTATTATCATCATCATTATTAATAGCAAAGTCCATAGTTCAGTTCCCGGGAAACATAAAAGTGGATGTTTTATGTATTGGACACCTGCATGTAATGTGATAATACAGAATTTTTTTTGAGTCAGTATGATTTACCAACCTATTAAAAACACAACCACACAATTAAAACCTGAGCAATCAAAACAATGCAATCTTCTAGCAATTGAAAACAATGAAGTGTCAGGCCAATGTGGAAGATCTGAGTAATCAGGCCTTTCAGGTAATGTTGACTGGAAATTCTATTTTCTCCTTTCATCTGAGGATCATTAAAAAGAAAATATTCACACACACACACACACACACACACACACACACACACACTCACTCACTCACTCTCTCTCTCTCTCTCTCTCTCTCACCGAAGAACTACCTGCCCTGGGCACATATGACTTAAGGATGCACTCCCCAGTGGGTTGATGGAGGCATCATCATTCCATCATATGCTGGAGCACTGAGGGGTCCACCTCCATGGCCTGGAGGCCCCTGTGTAACCTCTGGAATGTGGCCTCCTTCCCATAGCGTTGTCTCCAGCGGATGAAGGCCTCCACCATCTGCGACTGCACGTTGTGGGGGTGGTTGGCCTTACAGCGGTAGATATCTGTCTGGGACAGTCCCAGAGACAGCACCACGGGCTCCCACTCTGGGCCCAGCCTCTGGGCCAGCTGGTTAATCTGCCGGTCTGATGGGGAGCTGTTGAGGATATGCGGGGGGATTCCAGTCATCCGGTCATCTGGGGAGGAGAAAAGCACCAAGGTGAAAAGAGCAAGCAAAAACTTCCGACGAGTACAGAATGAAAACTGTAGGGAGAATGACATCCACTTCTGAATGTCAGGGGTCAGCTTTTCCTAGTCGTCTTGTGGGGCTGCTCAGTATGAAGCCATATATAGGGGCTTAAGAAATAACAGCATTTATAAAAATGTTTATTATAGAAAATTTGAAAGTAAGAAAAAATAACTAGAAATCCCATCAGAGAAACCAATTTATAACAATTTTATCTATTTCCTTTCAGTTTTTTATATATAAAACATAGATTTAAAATTACATTGTACGTACTGCTTTGTAACATGCTTTTTTCACTTCCATCTCTTTTGCCAGAGAGGCCAGGCAAGGGTTCTGGAGAATTTGGGCCCCAGTTTCCCCTGGCACTAGCCTGTGGGTGCAGGGGTGACACTCTCTCCTGCAGGAATGGCTAGTGCTAGAGAGTAACGTGCTAAACAGAACAACTACTCTCTCCTGATAAACTTGAATATCACCAAGAAAAGTTGCAGTTTCTAAAAGAAACAGAGGCTAAGAGGCCCGCTGAGGAAAAGAAATCTTAGAAGCCATGAGGTAGCAAGTAGAGAGGACAGCCGAGTTCATTGTTCCAGCACAGGCCACAAAAGGAGAGTTACCATCCTCGCAAAACCCAGTGGAGGAAGAGAAAGCATGTGCTGAGGAGGGGCAATGAGGGAACCTGACCTTGCAGCCCTAACCTGGATTTCAGTCTCCCAGAAGCTGTTTTTTTGAGGAAGCCTGAACTTGAGTAAGTGATTATATATGTCCCCAGTAAATCCAATGAGAAGTGCCATCAGTTATGCAGCAGGTCTTCCAGAGAAGGAGGCCCATGAAGGGATGGGAAAAGAGTGCACCCTGTGCAGAAAGAACATCCTATGCACGTGCAAGAGCCCTGAGGGAGAACAACATGGCATGTTCAAGGGAGTGAAAGAAATTCACTACGGCAAAGTGCAGAGATTAAGAAGGACTCCAAATATCCTAAATTATGGTGCTGGTTACTGGTCAGGCTAGGACTAGAAGTGAGGTCTTCACATTTCTGGTTTAGACATCTGTACGATAGCACACTGCACTACACTTTCTGTCACCAGTATCACAGGAATTCAGGTCAATCCCATTTCACACTCACCAACTGTTCTGATTTATGAATTCAATAAGAAGGCTAAAGGCATCCTATTAGAATAGCTGATGTGTTCCACTGCACGTGCCTTTGGCCTCTAGGCAGTTGCTAATGCCTAAGACATGAGTTGTAAAATTATTGTCAAGGACTTTTTCTGATGTTTGTCAAGATTGTAACTTTTTTTAAATGACTAAGAAGCAATTAGCATAATGATGATACTACCGACCAATATTTTATATTAACAGTAATGATTTCATGACTTGTATAAAAAATATGGGCTCATTAAAAAAATTCAAGCAACACAAAGAAGTACAAAAAAGAAAACAAATCCAATATACCATTTTGAACATGACTTTATGAACATATACTGTTAGAAGAATAATATAACAGCTTTTTCTAAGAGTTATTTAATTTTGTTCATGTATAACAGAAGAAAAATAAGTAAAACTAAATGGCTTTCTGACCTGCGGTTAAATACTTGAAACATACACACATACACACACATGCAATTTAATGCTGAGAAAAAACTTTATGAAAATTTAAGAACTAAACTGTGCGTTCTTATATTAATATTCTACAATGAACATTTTATATTTCCTTTCCCTTTCCTCGTACCTCCTGAATTTTGTTGCCTGTATCGTTTCTATTTTGCCAGGTGTACAACATTAACATGCTTCTGTAACAATAACCCTCCCAGCAGTTGTTTGGTCTTAAAACTACATTATAATGGTTTGAATGTTCACCAGTGTATTTTGTTATTACTTTTTTTTAATCATGGGTTTCCATTCTTGAGTCTGCTATTTTGCTTTGAGTCTTTAAAAACAATTTTATATTACATTATTTTAATATACTTTTAAATTATGAATATAATTTTATATCATTTAAATACTTTTATTCCTCTTATAAGTTCATAGACCTCGCTCATATTTCATGGTAGAGAACATTGGTATGGAGAATTCTGATACCAACTCGATCATCCTATTTTGTATAATTTGCTTTTTCTGTCTGCTGTTTATAGCACTAAAACTTTAGACCAGGGTATAGCTTGGTCATCCATCTGCTTTTCCAGGCATGTGTCATGACCTTCTGATCAAAGACTTAGTTCTTCCTTTCAAAAAAATCTTCTCGTGTCATACTTTTGCATTCTTTTTCTGCTTCATCTGCTATATGGTTTTGCCTATCCTCCACGGCATTTTCTCTCTTATTGCTTTAACTCCCTATGTTCCTCTCATGCCCTTTCCTCATGCCACTCCCTTGATTTTCAGTTACCTCTGTTAGATTTTTATTTGATTTGATTTTTCTTTGGTTCAAATATTGTACTGTGTTTTTGTTCTCAATTTCTTTTCTTGGCTCTTCAATCTATCTCTTAAAAATCCCAATCCACCTCACACTCATTAGGATGGCTACTATCAAAAAAACAGAAAGTAGACTTCTGGTTAAAATGACAGAATAAGTAAACACTATGCTCACCTCCTACCATGACCACATCAAAATTACAACTAAACTATAATACGATCATCATTGTGAACTGGCCAAAGACTAGCTGAACAGGAGTCCTAAAACTAAGGATATAAAGAAGCCATGTTGAGACTAGTAGGAGGGGTGAATACATGAAACAGGCTGGTCCCACAACCACAGTGTGGTGGTTAAGAAAAGTGAGAGATATCTTGGCTGCAGAGGTTCCCTCTGAGATGCAAGGGGTCCCAACCTCACACCAGGCTTCCCAGCCCATGGTTCTAGTGCCAGCAAGAGCAGTCCCACATCTGGCTGTGAAAACTGATGGGGATTGTGGCTGAGTGAGACAGAGGGCTGCTGGAGCCCCAGGTGTTTCTCCTAAAGGGCCCACACATGGACTTACGCACTGACGAACTCACTTGCTCTGAGCTCCACCACTGGGCAGCAGCTTGAAAAGTGCCAGGGACATTAAGGACAGAAACTGAATTGTCTGGCTTTGGGGCAAGGGCTAGAGGGGCAGTTTTCTCCCAGAAAGCAGTGCTGATAAACACCATAGTTTCTTTATTGAGCCCATCTACCACACAGTCTGCAGGTACAGGTGGGCAAAAAGTCTGAATCTCCATCCTGTCCTGGTGATTCTCTGAAACCTTGTCCCACCCAAATCACAGGCCTGCCCAAGTTGCTTCCATAAAAATGGCCTGTCTAAGCTTGTACTGTGGACTTTCCTAAAATCTCTCAAAGGTTCACATACCCAAAACAAGCAGCGTCTGGCCTCAGCATGACCCAAGCCAGGCCCTAGTGGCAGCTGGCCTCATTTCAGAGCTTAGCCTCCCCCATGTGCCCCTAAGCACAGCACAAGTGGCAACCATTTGCAAATCACTTTGTAACTACTACTAGGTGGCCCTGGACTAGGCACAGGCACTTGCAGTGGTTGGCCTTGGCCCACATCAGAGCCCCTCCCAAAAGATCCTAGAACCAACATACCCAGTGGTTGGCTTCAGACTACGCGAGAGCACCACCCAATTAGTTCCACACATGACACATCCAAATAGTGGACTCAGCAAGAACCAGAGCCCCAATAAAGTGAATACTGCTCCATGGGGTCGGCCCCCACACAATATCCAATGTAGTCACAGCAATTCCTCATAGCCAATAAGCCTGAGTGTCAATCTCTCCCACCAATGTGCCAACAGCCATTAAGGCTCGACAATAACAGAAGGGCACACACAACCCACACAAGGGACACACTTGGAGCTCTCAGCTCAGGTGAACAGACAGACTGTGCCACTGGGCCCCAGAAGACATAAACTACATAAGTCTACTCCACCAAGAACGGGAGACATAGCAGATGTACCTAATACATAAAAACAAACACAGGAGTCAGTTAAAATAAGGAGACAAGGAAACATGTCCCAGATGAAAGAACAGAACGAAACTCTAGAAAAAGAACTAAACAAAATGGAGACAATCTACCAGATGCAGAATTCAAAATACTAGTTATAAGGATGTTCAATGAACTTAGAGGAAAAGTAGATGAATTCAATGAGAACTTCAACAAAGAGATAGGAAACATAAAAATAGAAATGGAAAACATAAAAACGAACTAGTCAGAAATGAAGACTGCAATAACTGAAATGAAGAAGACATCAGAGGGAATCGACAGTAGATTAGATGAAATGGGAGACCAAATCAGTGATTTGTATGACAAGGTAACAGAAAACACCCAATGAGAAGAGCAAAAAGAAAAAAGAATTTAAAAAATAAGGACAGTTTAAGGGACCTCTGAGACAACATCAAGTGTACCGACATTCACATCATAGGGGTACCACAAGAAGAGAGACAGCAAGGAATTGAAAGGTATAATGACTGAAAACTTCCCTAACCTGGCAAAGGAAACAGACATAGAAATCCAGTGGAAATGCAGAGTCCCAAAGAAGATGAACCCCAAGAAGCTCACACCAAGACACATCATAATTAAAGTGCCAAAGGTAAAGACAAAGAGAGAATCTTAAATGCAGCAAGAGAAAAGCATCTAGTTACCTACAAGGGAGCTTCCATAAGACTGTCAGCCGACTTTTCAACAGAAACTTTGCAAACTTTGCAGGGGTTGTCACATATATATTCAAAGTGATGTAAAGTAAAAACCTGCAACCAAGATTACTCAGCAAAGCTATCATTTAGAATCAAAGCAGAGATAAAGAGCTTGCCAGACAAGAAAAAACTAAAGTTCATCACCATCAGATTAGTATTACAAGAAATGTTAAAGAGACTTCTTTAAAAAGAAACGAGTAAAAAGAGCAAAATATGAATAATAAAATAGCAATGACTACATACCTATCAATAATTACTTTAAATGTAAATGGATTAAATGCTCTAATCAAAAC